CTGCTGATCAGAGTTTAGATTAGCTTTGGCAGGTGTGGCAAGTCCAAAACCAAAGGAGCACACAAAGCAAGATAAAAATCTCTGAGGCTCTATTTTGACACAGTCTTTAAAAAGGATGACCAGATCCAAAATAAACCCACCAAGATTCTCTATCCAAAACGCCCCAATCAAAATATGGTTCCAGCTGCCTGTCTCTTATTACAGCAATTTCTCTTCTGAACTCCTCTCTGGAATATGACAACAGAGTAATTCGATTAATTTAACTAGTTGAGTCATTTGAGTTTGTTCATCAAGCCAAGAATAACAGAACATTGATAGAGGGATCAGGAAAGGGAAGAGAGAGAGCTGTAATATAAACTTACGGATCACGAATAAGGTTCCTGCTCAAAGCTGTACACTTCCTGTTAGTTGAGCTTGTCGTGGCCCCAGTACTTCCTGTTTTCCTGTGACATTGACCTCCTCATGCCCAAGTACCAACTGCAGGAAATGTTCTAAAAGAAGACAAGCCTAAACAAATCTGAGTGCCATTGGTACATTTCTTAAAATACACCACAGTTTCATCACTAAACCATTTCAGCCATGAAGATCACTGCTTATAAAATGGACACTACCGTTCAAAAGGTTAATTAAATTGATCAAAAATTACAGTAAAGACTTTCACATTGTTACCAAAAATTTCCATTTCAAATACATGCTGTTCTTTTGAACTTTCTATTCATCAAAGAATCCTGAAAAAATGTGTCATGGCTTCCAAAAAATATGAAGCAGCGCAACTGTTTTCAACACTTCTTAAGCAGCAAATCAGCATATTAATATGATTTCTGAAGGATCACTGAAGACTGGTGTAATGATGCTGAAAATTCAGCTTTGCATCACAGGAATAAATTACATTTGAAAATATATTCAAATAGAAAGCAGATCTTTTGAATGGTAATAATATTTCACAATATTAGTGTTTTTACTGTATTTTTGACCAAATAAATGCAGCCTTGGTGAACATAAGAGTCTTGTTTCAAAAACATTTTTAAAATCGGTAGTTTATGTACAAATTATATTATCAGCATAACAATCGGAGTGAAAAACTATATGAAAAAAAATAACAAAAATGTCTTAATTTCAAGAACATCTGACCTTCTGAACAATGGAATTCATATGATCAGTGTCAGATTTACTTACATTTGACTAGTTACCCATGAATAGTACAGAAATGTTTAAATAATAATAATAATAATAAATAATAAAAATATTATACGCTTTGGTTATTAAATTAAATTAAATTGTGATACAATTTTCATTTTACATTTTCAGTGTGGTCTCAGATTTTTTGAAAATCACTTTACTTGTACTTGGGAAATTGTAATACATTTTTATATTTGTTGTATTTAAAAAAAAAAAAATGTTTTTAACAATTCTTACAAATGTAAAGACAAAAGCGGACAGATCAACCAAAGTACCTGATTTAAACCAATAAGAAACATCAAAAGACATTTGAGAGCTGCCTCAACCCCAGATTCCAGATGCCCAATCTATCATCTCTCCATCTAACATTCTATAAGAGCACAATTATGAACAATAAATAACATTAACTTAATTTCACAGAAAGATAACATTTCATAATCTTTCAACACACATCTCTTTCTAGTGTGGAAAATGACATTGTGTTACTGTTACCCCATCTGTTCAAGATCAGAGATAACAGTGACAAATATAGACATGCATGTAACACCTGCTTACTGTCAATCTGAATGAAAGAGCAGTTGACCATGTGAAAGCATTAGGCACTATGGTAACAAGGTCATATGAATATACCACATGCATCTGTCTCAAACATGGCTTTAATATATTAAAATGTTATTTGATATGTTAAAGCCAATGAAATGTTAAATGTTTGATTTAATGAGCTCTGTACTGACCTGCTGAGGTTTTAAAAAGTTTCATTCTGTCAGGTTTTGGATAAATGTTGTTTGTGCTTAATGGTCCTCACAGTAAAGAAGAGGGAAACCCCCTATAATTTCCTCAACTCCTCTGGGAAGTTCACGTCACACCTCTTTCGGTCAAGGACTCTTGTCCTTTAACAGATGTCAGCAGTTCTGCCATTGAGATAATTTGAGGGGAAACAATCTTACATATTTCCTATTTTTATCCTATGCGTTTGCTATATATATTTTGTTTTTGGCAGGTTATTAAACTACTGTTTAAGTTAAGTGACTAAAAATGTGTTGATGTTTCGTTACCCAGCACTGCACCAGCTTTTGGGGTCTAACTTTACTTCAGTCCTGACCTACATACAGCTCCTGTAACCACATCAACAGATCTCAGAAGCAACCGTTTCCACACACACACACACAATTAGTTTCTAAAGTGACGAAAAATAAATACTATGTAATATTCTCTGTTTATACTTTAGGACCAAAGTCATGGATTTTTGCCTTATTTAAAAGCCACTTTTTCCTTAGAAGATATTTAGAAAGTTTATGCCAAACAATACACATGTATACAAAAATCATGCTGATTTTCCGATCATGGTATTTTAATTAGAGTAACATTTTATCACACAAAAGCCTATGCAAAAGAAGCATTTAAATGTACTTAAATGCAGCCTCTAGCACAAGTAGTCTACTGCAGAATTGAACAGTAAATGACTGAAGACCATAATAGAAGAATATGACCTCATTGCAAAGAAAGAGGCTTAGCCTGTGAAGTGTATTTATGTCAGACTGGCACTGATTCGGAGTCACTGTCCCACACACATACACTCACAGACACACACACCTGCTCCCCCCTGCTGCAACTACGAAGAACAACATGTGAAACATGAGCATCTCAATTTGAATATTTTTATTGTAATAGGCTGCATATAAAAATAAACACGATAATTAATTTTTGCTTTTCATACACTAGTCTAAATGTTTGGACATATTTGAATTAATTAAAAAATCTTGATCATTAAATTCATTTAAAATCATGAAATGATTTTGAAGATAAACTGTGTCTCTATTGAATTTCTTTACAAAACCTAAATTATATGCATTTACTTTTTAAATGGATGAATTTGAGCACAAAAAAAGTGTCCAGAATAGTGTTTCAATATTTTACTCCCAGGATGCACCAAATGCGGTTGGTTGAGCTGTAATCTAGGGTGGCTACTTTGAAAAAGGTAAAATATATGATAGTTTTGGTCATTATTTGGTCATTATACACTACAATTCAAAAGCTCGGGGTCAGTAATGCATAGATCAAAAGTGACAGTAAAGACACATGAAAATTCAGCTTAGCCATCACAGGAATAAATTGCATTTCAAAGTATATTTTACAGTTAATTTAAATTGTAATAATATTTCACAATATTACTATACTTTTGATAAAATAAGTGCAGGCTTGGTGAGCATAAGAGACTTTTTGCAAAAACCTGCAAAAAATATATATTTTTTTGTACTTTAGTATTACCTTTAGTAT